GCGGGGAGGGGAGCCTTGAGCTGATCCTGGGGCCTGAAACGGCGAGTGGGAGCCTCCCTGCCGCAGTTCTCACCCCTTTGGGTATGTCAGCACCCAGCACACGCACATCTCTGCTCTGTTCCCATAGAAATACTACCCACCAGACTTCGATCCTGCTAAGATCCCAAAACTCAAACTCCCGAAGGACCGGCAGTATGTGGTGCGGCTCATGGCTCCCTTCAACATGCGGTAAGAGGGGCCAGGGTAGTAGGAAGGGAGAAGCTGTAGAAGAAAGGAGTTTGCTTGGGGATCATTTAGCTTCCACACAGAGCAGAGGAGCCGCTGCCACTAGAAGTGGCATGGATCACAAGAAAAGGGAGGCGGGAGAGGGAAACGATGCTGGGGGTGATTTGAGTAGGTGTTGAATTTACAAAGTTAAAAATAACCATTGCTCAGAACCTGGGCGGATGCGGCCTGAAAATCACTTGGACTTTTCTCGGTCTTCTCGTTCTCTTCTTTCAATGTGTTATGGACTTCTCTTTCTCTTTTTTTAGATGCAAGACATGCGGTGAATACATCTATAAGGGGAAGAAGTTCAATGCCCGTAAGGAGACTGTTCAGAATGAGGTGTACTTGGGACTTCCCATCTTCCGCTTCTACATCAAGTGCACACGTTGCCTGGCAGAGATCACTTTCAAGGTGAAGTTTCTTGGGGTGGTTCTGTATTTTCAGGGCTCTCAGTTTCCGGGCAGACAGTATGGTCTGTGGGCTGAGCCCTGGAAATGAGGGATAGCTAGCTCCATGGGGAGGGGAGGTTTCAGCAAGTACAGAGTCAGAGCATGTGCTGTTTGATGTCTTTTCCCTTTTCATAGAAGTTTGGAGCCCTGAAGTGTCTCGTCTATCACATGGGCAGGGCACAGTAGCAAGTCACCTGTAGGAGAGCACAGGGGTGTAGGTGATTGCCTGCCTGTAATGTGAATGAAACAGCATAGAGGGATCAGGAAAACATTTGCGTGTGGCTCTGGAAGTAGCGCTTGGATGTTTGCGGACAGCAGAATGCCTGGCCCCAGGCAGGATACTGGGAGCAGGAGTCCCCCAATACAATGATTTCACTTCTTCTGTAGACAGATCCTGAGAACACGGACTACACCATGGAGCATGGGGCCACTCGCAACTTTCAAGCTGAGAAGCTCTTGGAAGAAGAAGAGAAGAGAATGCAGAAGGAGAGGGAAGACGAAGAGCTAAACAATCCCATGAAGGTACTGGAACGTGCCCTTCTCTGCAGAACAGAAACCTTCTACCTGCTCCAACTGGCTTTCCCTCACAGAGCAGGTGACTTTGTAGCTATTGGTTTAGTTTTCCAGGCTCCTGAGATAGTCTCGTGCTCTAGAGCAGCCCTTAGAACTGCTACAGATAGGAGCCAGTTATTGGCTCCTGGGAGGTTTTCTCCCATGCTGGGACTTGTGACAGAGTGCAGTTTACCCCTATCATGCATACTAAGGCACGAAAGTTAGGCCGATGACCCTCCTAGTGCTTTCTGCACTGTACTTGGTGTAGAGGCTGTGTCAGACCTTGCTGGTGGACCCTGCTACCTCACATAAGCTTGGCTTCCTCCTCCTCTTCCTCCCCCAGGTCCTGGAGAACCGAACCAAGGACTCCAAGCTGGAGATGGAGGTTCTGGAGAACCTGCAGGAACTGAAAGAGCTCAACCAGCGTCAGGCGAATGTGGACTTCGAGGCCATGCTGCAGCAGTACAAGGAGTATGAGGAGGAGCAGAAGCGCAAGGAGCAGGAGGAGGATGAGCAAGAGATGAAGTGAGTGGGCTGGAAGTGTTCCTAGGTGTGTGAAACCAGCCGAGCTGGCCCTGGCCAGGCAGGGCTGTGTCTTGCCCTCTCCTTAGCTTCTCAAGCGGCCTGGTGTGAGGGCTAAGGGAGACACTGCTTGAGGTGTCTGAGTTCATAGAAGCTGGATAGGTGGGATGTTGTTCTGATTGGGCTGTGAGGAGATTGGGGACAGTTTGTCATGGCTAAGTGTTTGGAGAGGGGAGAGAAGCGCGTATGATGGAGGTGGTGATGGTTAAACATCGCCGTCTCATCTGGTGGGGAGATCAGGGCTGCTGCAGGGGCCTATTTCCTCTCGAGGAGCATCTTCATGAGAAGAGATCTCTGTGCTATCAACCTTCAGGTGCTGCTTTGTAAAGGTGACTTCTTAAAAAGCACCTGAGAAGCTGGATCCTGCCTGAGCTGCTGAATTCCAGCTCTCCTTACACCAAAGAGTGCAGGCACTGATCTCAGCTGGTGCTGCTGCTTGCATGGTGGTGTGGAGCTGTCTCTAACCCTCTTCGCGGGGCTTCTCTCCTTGCAGAGCTATGCTGGAGGAGGCCCAGAATCGGCGGCTGCTGGTCGACTCTGACTCTGATGAAGAGCCTGCCAAAGTCCGCACAAAGCCAGAGGCAAAAATGAAACCTACGGACATCCTTCAGGAGGTGAGGAGGAGACAGAGCCTTTTCTACCTGCCACATCTCCTCCCCCAGCTCAGAACTGCTGTCCTGGGTGGCTGTGTGTTGTCCTTTCTGTCCCTGCTCTGTGCAGAGGCTGGAGTCCTAATGCTTGTCACGCATGAGCAGCTTACAAAGCTCATGTCCCTGTGTGCCGGGTTGAAATGAGACAGGGATCAGTTGGTGATTTTAGTCTGTATCTGCTGACAAAGGAGATGGTCTTGGCTGGGAGGGAGCTGCCCGCTGCCCTTGCTGGGGACATGGCTCCCCTTCCCTTACGGCTCAGAAAGGACGGGCTCGCCAATTCTTTGGTCATCTCTCGGACGTGATTTCACCCCTCTGGAAAGTTAGCAGCAAAGAAGTGCCTGGGACAGCCTCTCCTTCAGTTCTGTTCTGCTCTGTGTTGGAGATAGGCAGGACAAAAGAGCTTTCAGTGCTCGGCTCCCAGGGAGGGATTATCCCCACAGACAGGCCCCCTAGCACTGTCCTTTTTTGATGTCGATCCGTGTCTGCTGGGACCTCTGTCTATTCGGACAAATCAAAGCTGCCTTGTTTCTAAGCTGGGCTGGGGTTAATCTGAGCGATGTTCCCTGGCCCAGCACTAATCTGCAGCCCCGGGGAGTTTGATTCAGTGACCGGACCACCTGCAGGCATGTAGTCCTGGCTGCACAGCCCTGTGACATGCATCAGGCTCCTCATCGTCCCAGGGCCGGCCTGTGGCTGCGCTAGCCTAGATTTGATTGTCCCAGGCACTGGGACATTCATCTCTAACAGCTATTTTACCAGCTATCCCTGTAGTTTGTCTAACTTGTGCTGGTCACCCTGGGAGAGGATGCGTCCCTTGGCTGCTCCGAGAGGCTCTCCCCATGTCTCTTGCTCTTTGTGCTGCTGTCTTCAGCAGTCCCCCTTTTCCCCCATCCCCCTAATGCCCCTGTTCCCCTCCGCAGGACCCCCAGCCCCAGGCTAAGAAGCTGAAGACTGAAAGCTGGGAGCGGAGCGTGGGCACGTTGAACAGCAAGTCCCAGCTGGCTGGGCTGGTCACAGTGAGGAAGCCGAAGCCGGGTGCCACCCTGGCTAACGGGACAGAGAAGCAAGGCGCCACGGCCTGCACTGGTAACTGCCGACGTGGGGATCGGGTTGGCTTGTCTGAGCTGAGCGACTGGGAAGGGATTTGGCAACACCAAAGTGGCATTTAGTGCTGCGTTGTTTTCAGAGCCTGAACTCTCTCAGATTGCGTCTATGTTGTGGGACAGATGTGACCATGGTGATGTAAGAAGGGGGTTGTCCTTGCTTTGAGGAGACATTGTAGCACCTGATGTACTGGAGAGAGGAGAGGTTCCTTCCTGGCCTTTGGCAGCAAGCCAGGACCTTGGAGACGCTGGCTGGCAGGGTCATAAGCTTCAAAACAGCTTCTTAGTGCTCAGATATGATGCTGGGAGCCATCACAATAGTGAGATATGATTGTAACAGCAAGAAAATCACTTTGGGTTTGGGCCCTCTTGTAAAACCTGCCAAGCTTTGGGAATTCAGCACCTCCAAAGAAGTGAAAACAAGCAGAAGGGCTTTCTAACACCTCGTAGTTCACTGCCCCAGGAGGGCAGAGGGCCCGTGGGTTTGACAGAGCAGCAGGTCAGTTCAACTCTGAGCTGATGCAGTCATTGGCTTAGGAAATCTCTGACCTGAGGGGATCCCTGGGGAAGGACAGCTCTGTGTTTGCCCCCTTTTTCACATGCTGTCTGCAACCACCTGCTTCTGGCTGCTGTCAGGGTCCGTTCAGCCCAGATTGTGCTGGGGAAACTGCCCATCCTTCAAGGACTTGGCTCAGAGCTGGCACGGGGCTCTCCGCACATGACGGTGCCACATGCTTGCAGCTGGCAGCTTGTGTAGCCAAAGCCGAGAGCTGGCGTCTCTCTTCCTCTCCAATGGCTGAAATCTCCCCGGTGGCGCAGTGGGGAGAAGAGCGCCTGAGCACGCCCCTCTCCCAGCGCCGCTCGTTGCGGGAGAGAGGGTTTTGCAGACCTTGTGCCAACCTTGCTGCTTCCTCCGTGCTGCCGCGGGGCGCAGACAAGAGGCCCCAGCTGAGGAGGTCGGGGGGAGGGTGCGGGGTCTCCTTGTCTGCCCGGTTTAACCTTGTCATGCTCATCGAGATTCAGGCCAAGGGATGAGGCGCTGCTTGGACTCCCGCTCCCAGCGCCTCGGCTCCAGCCGTGCGCAGCTGCCTGCGGCTAGCAGAGCAAGGCAGGCTTGGGTTTCTGTGCGGGTGGTTGTGCTGAGCCCATGGGGTTTGCCGGCAGCAGGGAGGGCTGTACCTGACAGTTTGCTCTCTGCTTGGCTTGCAGGCTCGTTTCCCACAGCAACGGGCAGCACGTCCTCCCTCGGCTTGTTGGGGGCGTATTCGGACAGCGAGGACAGCACGAGTGACTGACGTGCCACCGAGCCAGGGCCGACAGTGGGGATCGCGGGCTGTTCTTCCCCTCCCACTTCACAGCCAGCCCGGCACAGAGCTGGCTTCGCTGCGTTCAGGCCCCAGCGGAGTTTCCAAGCCGCCTGCACACAGGCCGGCCATCTGGAGTCCCAGCGTCTTCATGCAGGGAACGCCAGGGTGCGTAGCCATCCTCAGAGGGGAACGCTGTGCCTAGGACAACGCTGCCCTCGCCCCAAGCTCTGTCTTGCCAGACCCTGGCAGCTGGCACCGTTTAACAGCGCCAGCAAGCTGAACCTGGGGTGAATTGGATAAACGGTTTCCTATTATGAGGATATCGCTGCTTGGTTGCAGCGTGTGGAAAGCCCTGATGCTGTTCGTGCCCAGACTCAGCTTCCAGCCAGCCCCAGGGAGTGTGATGGGGCCTAGCCCTGCTCCTGTAATGTATTTGGGAGCCCCAGGGCCTGCCGAGACAGTGCGGTTGGTTTTGCTGGTCCCCGCTGTCCTCTCCCGTGCTGTGGCTTTCCCTATGCCCGGTTGTGTGACTCACCAGTGCTCTGACTGCAAATAAAGGGACCTCAGGGCCTTTCTCCCTTTCTGCCTTGTGTCTCAGGGAGCAGAGGGAAGGCAAAAGCTCAACATTCCTCTTTTGCCAGCGAAGCTCCCCCTCCCTTCGCTTCCCTAGCCCTGGGTGTCTCCTGCCCCCCTTGCGTGGGGCTCAGCTCCCCCCGTTGCCTCCTTTGTGAGATGAGCCTGAATCCCCTGTTGCTTTTCTGTTGGATGAGAGGCCAAATGCTGCAGCACTGATCCTGGGAGGGCTTGTCCCCCCGGGCCCCTTCCCCTGCCAGAGCTGGGCTTGATCCTACTGCTGCCCTGGGCTCATGTCCCTGCACCAGCTGGGTGCGGACACCTGGCCTGTGTGTCTGGGTAGGTCTGGGGGTCCAGCCAGGGTCTGGGGACCCCATCGTGCAGGGATGAGGATGTCCCAGCTGGGCTGACACCAGCCTTCCTGCACCCCAGCTGTCCCCGGCAGCTCTGTGCTAAACCCATCTCCGCTCCTCGTGTTCAGGGAGCAATTGCATTTCCTCTGCTCACAACCAGGTAATAAAGTGGATGTGTCAGAGCCTGTCACTTTGTCGTCGTCTTCTCTCGGATGGAGCGGTTGTTGGTCTACGAGCTCGGGGGAGATGCAAGGAGTTTGTGCTACCTCTGCATGTGCTGGGGCAGGGGGAGCTCCGAGGACCCTGCCTGGCAATGCAGCTGAGGCGCGGGGTCTGCACACCCCTGCCTCGGCGGGACCGCGCAGCGTCTGTGCGCCCCAGCTGGGGCTCAACCTGGGGCTCTTCTTCCTCTTGTCCTAACCCATGTCTGCTAATCGCCCCCCTGTCCCTAGACTCCTTGTCGAGACACCCACCCCTAATTAACAAGCCCTGATTAACCTCCACTTAGATCCTCACACATGACTCTCTGGGCTGGGGGCTGGGGCAGCTGCCATTTATGGGAGCTGGGGATAAAAGGCAGCTTCCCCCCCACCCAATCCTGCCGCTCCGGTGGCAATTAGTATTCCTCGCACGTGCATTTTAATTAGCTTCCTCAAATATTAATGGTGGATATTGGGCTCTGGCCCTGGGATTTGCGTGTGATGAGATCTGTCAACAGCAGTTCTGCGAGTCCAGCAGAGTGTGTCCCCGCTCCCGTGTGTGTCCCCGGACACGCGTG